GAAGCATATGCCTACTATCTGAGGAGTTAACAAGCAGCCGTTTCATGAAGTGGGTTGCAGACTGCAGAGCCACCACAACAATTCTTGAAACTGCACATGAGTGACACATGTTCTGATTTCAGCAGCATGTTGTAATGACATTGGGTGGTAATGGCATACTAATAAATTTAGTAGGCACTGCTTGTTACATCAATGTTAAATAGGGAAGATCAATACATACTTGGGAAGCTGATGTCAAAGGTAGTTATGAAAGATCACTTCAAACAAGTTATGAAAATGTTGTGAAAGGGTTCCAAATATTTTACAAAAGGGCAGTGTCGAATGACTGCAGTGTCACAAAATTACATTAATGCTTGGGTGTTAGAGGGGAAAATTCCTCTCCAAAAAAGGGATGAGGGTAGTATATTCTTGATCAGGTTAGCCCCGCCCCCCCCCCTCAAAAAAAATAAAGAACAGAAGAAGGAAAAATTGCACACTTTTCTGTACAATGGTAGAATCTGATGCGATCATGCAAGTAGATGCTCTTTCGTGAGTGGTAAATTGCTCTTGAAAGTTGGAGGTGGGAGTGGAAAATTATTTTCATTTGGATGTCTTGTTCCACCCAAATTGACAAATTTTGGGACACTGCATTATGAAAATTTTGCCAAAGGGTTCCAACAAGTTAACAAAAGTGTTGTTTGAAATGAGTTATGTAAAGGCTGTGAAAGAGTTATGAAGAATTTGCAAAAGGGTTCCTTCAAAAGAGTTACGAAAAGGTTCCGAAAGAGTTACAATGAGTTAATGAAGAGATTTTATGAATGAGATATGAAAAAGTTGTCAGAGGGTCACAAATAATCTATGAGAAATTTGCTTTGAATGAATTATGAAAGGGCTGTGAAAGGGTTACAATAAGTTAATGAAAAGCCTCTTTCGAATGAGTCAGGAAAATGTCGCGAAAGGGTTGCAAATAATTTACGAAAGGGTTATTTTGAATGAGCTATGAAAATATTGCACAAAGTTAAAAATAAGTTATGAAGGGTTACTGTGAATAAACTAATAAAAGGCTGAGAAAGGGTTACCATGAGTTTACGAAAGGGTTGTTTCGAATAAGTTATAAAAAGGCTGCGAAAGGGTTACGAAGGGCTTGCGTAAAGGCTTAGTGAAAGGGTTGTGACCTAACAAGTTGCGAAAAAATAACAGCAGCTTTAGGAAAAGAATATGAATGGATAAAGAAGTAACAAATTTTGTTGCAACAAGTGAGGAACGATGTCACACCACTGGGGCTATAATTATACTCAGAAATAAAAAGCATCTCAGTCTAGTCCATGAAGACTGAAGAGCAGGCTGCACTTAATTGGTGGCTTACCTCGACATCACTGGCCGACTCACCCCTTCCACTACATTGATCGGGCGATTAAACACCTTTTTCAAATAACGGAAACTCAGAAGAAACGTTTGAACCGCTGGAAATGCCGAGAAATTGGCGGCAATATACACAGTGTATATAAATACACTATACAGGGAGGACACACTGCGCAACAAATGTCTCATAAGCGCATGGAACGTATGCAGTTTCCAAAGCTCTTGATAATATCAAGAACATGTTTTTTTTTTCTTCTAATCCCCATCTGGCCAAATGTCCGCCTTTACACGGGGCCTGCACCCTAACGAAACGGGTTCTCTGTCTTCTTCGCCCACTGTCTTACGGCGCCTTTCACCTCAGCATCGGTCTGGAAGTGGTGGCCACGAAACTCATCCTTCAAGGGACCAAACAGATGAAAATCTGATGGGGCGAGGTCCGGACTGTAGGGCGGCTGGGGCATGATTGTCCATCCCAGTCTCGCAATCTCCTGGCACGTGGTGTCGGCCGTGTGTGGTCGGGCATTGTCGTGGCGTATGGTGATTCTGGTTTGCTGGTTGACAATATTCACGATTGTTCCAGTCGAGTAGCCTACTCACTCAGCCAAATCACGCACCCGTATTTGGCGGCTGCTCCTGATCGGCTTGATCCTGATCGGCTTGTTCACTACACTGTAAAAAAGTTTAGCACCACCAATCAGCTAAATGCACTTAAGTACCGTGGTAAAAAACGAGCACAACCCACCGGCTTATTTTAAGCAGGCTAAGAGGGTGCTATTTGAGTTGTTTATTTTTAACACCATAAAAATCGTAGCACCATGGCTCCTGTATGGGGCTAACAAGATGCTTTTTAATTAGTATCTCATATCTAAGACCCGAAGGGTGTTAAAAAATAGCACCCTGGAGGGTGTATTTTTCAGCACACTGAGGGTGCTAGGGTCAAAAACCAGCACTCAGGAGGTGCTACTTGTTTAGCACCTTAGCGCTTAGAACCTTCAGCTAGCACGCAAATAGCTTCTTACTATACCCCAACACCCTACTGCAAGCATAACATTAGCATCTATAGACATGAAGAGCCACGGTTGAGCAATGTGATACAGGATGCTTTTGGTCATCGGTTGTTGTATTATCTAATATGTATATGTTACAGTTAGTATGCGAAATCCGTTAGTTTGCAACGCAACTAGTTTCGTTGCAAACTAACTGACCGTCCAGTTAGTTTGCAAACTAACTAGTTAGGATGCAAACTACCTAGTTACTTTGCAACGGAACTAGGTGTGTTGCAACGGAACTAGTTGTAATGCGAAATCGACGAGGCGGTGAATCTATTTGTCGTTTATATTCATCTTTTATGTAAATTTTAACAACGGTTGTTAAAACAAAGTGAGTGACTCACGTGAGAACTTCGATAATGAACTTGGAGTCAAAGACCTTTTGAATAAAAACAGACTATAGCACCCCATTTCATGATCTTGGAAATATCAGCATATGGTGCTAAATATCCGCTAATTAGGCTCCTTAGGTGCTAACGTAAACACTGTAAAAAAGATGAGCACTTTTTGTGCTAAACAACTGCTATTAAGGTGCTTAAGATTAGCACCTATTCTGATGGAGCCCTGGGGTACAACTTGGGCACTAAAGGTACAAACGTCACACACAGATGGCGCTGTTCAATACGGCTTCGAATTACTCCGATTTTTCATGTTTTTTTTTTCTGCACCACTGATACATTTGCACATTTTTTGGGGCGTTTTCCAAGAGGGGCGGAAGTAATATTGATAAGATGCATCTTCAAAACCTCTGCAACATTCATCACGTGACTATTGGCAACGCTTTTGTTCCGAAACTGACAACTGAAACCAGTTCAATTCATTATATAGGTCACAAAAGCAGCGGCAAAACATCTTTGATTTCCCACGCGATCGGCGTGACTAGTAGTGGGAAGACCTAAGCGGACTTCTGCCAAGGTTCCAGATTGACATCGTCTCGCCAATGTGGACACCTACATTTGTAAGGAGTTCATCTCCCTTCATGGTGTGACCGCCTGTGATCGGTAATGATAAGTTATATCACAGATAACAGTAGTACTGGATTGGAAACAGGATTCCGGTGGCTGCAGTAAGGGGCCGAAAACAGAACCGAATATTTCGTGCCCATATTTCGATATCTCCTCTCACAGGCAACAAAAAATATTGGTTTATGTGAATGAAACTTAAAAAGAAGCAATCGACTAGCCGTGCTCGTGTTTATTGCTGCATTTTTGCATAATGGCAATTTATTTTACTAAACGTTGCTGGTTACACTTTCCTCACCGTGGTGAGGGAACGTATGCCACTGATTTGATTATAATTATTTCTCACTCTCATCCACAAAAAGTACTTGTACATACATGGGAGTTTGATCTCTTTATTTACATGCTAATCGATACCAGTCCTGCCACAACGAACCATCCAAACGTCACGATTCAAACCAACGTCACAAAACACCCCTTCAAGTGTCACTTCGCTTCGCCTGCCTTCCCAATTTCATCAGAGACCTTGCTTCCCCGCCTTACATCTTCTTGACCCTGCTGAGCTTTGGCCTCTTGTCGCTCCTCGATCGGGTTGCACCAGTGGCTGGGGTGTCTGCTTCCTGACTTTCGATGGACTGTCTTGTCTTGTCTTGGACTGTCTTGTCACTGTCTTGAGCAGGGAGACACCGGTTGGTCACGTGACTCGGAAACAAAAATCAGCTGATAGAGTGGCGGAATCGCCGTTATCAGACACGATTAATTCCGGACGATAGAGCGGCAGTATAGGAGTCTTCTTCACAACAGGCAAACATTGCCATGTTTATCATTGAATGATCAAGAAACGTTCATAAATTATATATTTATTCGACGATTACCACCGCAACCAACGCGCACATATCGTTACCAGCACATAAAGCTGTGCTTTGCGATATTATTGGTAAAGAAACGGCCAATACCTAGGTACTAATTATGTGTAACAAAGCTCGAAAACGATAACATTCTATCTTGCTTCAACCTTCTACTTACGCTTTCATAATTACGACAGCGACACCATACGGCCTATCGACGCTATGCATCTCCGTGTCCGTGGAGCGTCCGGCCACACTCTGCAGAGTGTGCCGAGATCGGTGGCGGTCGCGGACCATCCCCGGCCGTCCACCTGCGCTGCCCCGTGCCCGACCGCTGGGATGGGCGACGCCGACGCCTAGCTCGTCTGGATACCATCCACTCAACGGTTTCACAGATGCAAAAAGACGACTGGACGGTGGCCGCCAGCTGCGCACACAACTAAACTACTTGGCTACGCCCTCTCGGGGAGGGGAGGGAGGAGCAACAATCGTCAACAGTCTGAACTCTGATGAGCCAATGGAGTCTGTGAGCCGCGCCAATCAGCGCTGTTCCGCGCGTAGACGGGAGCTCTATTTTCGCTGGTCCGTCAGTCACCAGCATCGTTCCGTGCTCTCGCTCATAGCTATTCGGCCGTGTTTTTGTGTGTAGGTCAGCAAAAACAGTGAGAGAGATTCTCGGATCGCGCCAGTCGGTCGCAAGGGTATCTATTGTCTTGTCTATGTACTTTCCAGTATTGCAAACGTTATTGTTAGGAGCCGAGGGTAATCAGCAGTAGACGCATTGGTTCTGTTGTAATAAAATTGAAAATAAAGCGAGGTATATTCACTTAAATTCACATATCACCTTTGATTTTTTTTTTGGCACGGACTACTTGCCCCTGCTACAGCACACAGCCGATCTCTATGTTTCTGTTCCAGAGCTGCAGTGGACACGGCAAAAATACACTTCTGTTCTGAAAACTTAATCCAAAAGTACACAGATTTCACGAGGAACTACCACTTTCATACCATTTTCTTGCTCACAGGTGCTCAGCAATAAGCGCGCGACTGATTGCAGCTAGTGCACTCACGATTACTAGTTCGCGCTCGCCAAACCTGTCATTTACATCCACCACCAATACCATCAACATCTATCCAATTAAGTACCTATTACCATATCGAGCCAAAATGAGACCACGACATATTATCGTCCTATTACATAGCACAAATTCCGGGGTGGGGTGGGGGGGGGGGAATCCGTAAAGATACCAAACTCCAATCACAGCCAACATCGTTTTGGGACGGGGAGTCGAAGCCGGGGCTCGTATCGACGTATCCTTCACATATCTGGGCGTCTCACTCCTTTCGACACTTAATCAACCCTGGCACACCATCCACCGGGCCAGGTCGGCTCCGACCATCTTGAGTTCCATACTGAGATCTGATAACTGACCGTCATTTGTTCCTATCAGTCAGCGCGCACTATGCCTTAGCACAGCAAGTGCACTATGCGGCCTTCTTTGGATACCGCCTCGGAGCAGGGCGCTGGTCCTGGGTGCATGGCGCCTTTTGTTCGTGTACGGTTAGCAGCATTTTCGGGGTCCGAAGGTTTCCGCAGTGGCGGCGCTGGTCACCGTGGAGCCGTCGGACGACACCGTCAGATGGAGCGCCCGCAACTGGTGACCTGTGACACAGCGAGTCGCGACACGTCAGATCTCACGACGACCGTCACGTTTCAGTCGCGACGGCCGTTATATTAACAGTCACGGCGGCCGTTATATAAACAGTCATGGCGGCCGTCACATACCATGCACAGTGACCGTTACACACGAGTCAAGGCGACCATCAATTAGCAGTCACGGCGACGTCACAGGTTGCGACGGTCCTCACATTTCCGCCACGGCGACGATAACTCATAGCTCATAGCGTTTCCTGTCGCACACTTCGCCATAATTGCAATACATTAACCTGTTTATGCGTTTCTCACTCAAAAGTCGAGGCCCGAGTCTGAGACCCATCATACGTCACGACCCCTGCAACGGCACCTGCATTAGCAGACATCCCCTCCCGGCAACACACAAAGTTCTCTCCACTCTCCAGCCACTCACCTAGGGACTTGGGGGGGGGGGGGGGGCGAACTAATCTTGGGGGTGACATAGCCATAGTTAAGGCCAGGATGTGCATCGAGCTGCCGTCGGCGGGCGTGCTACGAATGGCCGGCGGACCTCCGTCAGCTGGCGGGCCACCATCAACTGGTGGGCCGTGGTCGGCCGACGGGCCGGCGTCGGTCGGCGAGCCACCGTCAGCCGGCCGGCGGGCCACTGTTGGCCATTGAGCCGACGTCCGTCGGTGGGCCTCCGTCTGCTGGCGGGCAGTCTGAATAACAACAAATAGTTGAATTAGTTACTCTAGTGTTCATTGTTCAAGTTCATTAAGTACAAGTCTCAGGACACCCAATTCTATTCATATACACCATATATCCATTTCACTCTACATTGCTTTACAACCATTTTTAGAATAATATTAGTCTTATGTTAGTAAGTGAAATGCTTTTGTGTTCAGTCAGGCCGGTTGATACCATTGCAGAAATGCAGACCATTGCAGAGCTGGAAGGATGATAGGGAATTAGCTGCTGTGCTACAGTGGCAGTGTTTCTGGCTACAGGTCAGGACGTCCACACTTACCTACAGTAGGGCCTGAGATGGATCTTGGACCCCTGTCAGTGCGGTCTCCCTCTTGATGGTGTAATGGGCTGAGGAAAATCAAAGTGATGTTAGTACTGCAACTTATCACAGTTATGAGCAAGGTTTGGATTATATTAGGCTTGGTTTGGTTAGGTTACAAATTAAAATTAACGGCATTAGTAGAGCAGATGTCAAATGAACTATGAAGGGTTTCCAACCAAGGAGAGGCACAGCTGTAGGTTTGTAGGTTGTATGATTTTAGGTTGTAGCTGACTTGTAGGTTAGGTTACGTCAGGTAAGGTTTGGTTTGGTGTTAAAAAGAAGACTCTCTGGGTAAAGCGCCTCGCCTTGGTTGGAAAACATTTCTATAATGTCTGCTCTACTCTGACTCATAGGCGGCGGAATGGGGAGGGCACCAGGGCACCGTGCCCCCCTTTGATTTTGGCATTTTAACATTAGCCCTATGGGTGTTGCATGGAAAGAATGGGACCAAAAGTCGGCGGTGCCCCCCTTAATCGAAGGTGTTCCGCCGCTACTGCTCTGACTCGTCATACCCAAATACCTTGGTCACAAGTGACATCAACTTATCCGAGCATGATAGATAATGAAACAGAAATAGTATATGCATATGGACCCCAACCCAACAAATACATCAACTTTGTGCGTACCTACAAAAAAAGCTGGTAAAACTTCAGTTTTTTTACATTTAAAAAACACAACTTTGATAGTCTTTACTGCTTCCCGATGCCCACCCAGACCCGCTGTTACCCACATATTGACAACCACTGTTAGCGTGGATATGGATATCAATGTTTTTGTCTAGCTTTGCCAGCAAATTAAAAAAAATATTACTTACATTTCCACACAAACACCTCATTCCTTGGTCTTTGTCTCTTCACGGTGATGCTTTGAGTGCTTGATGTAAGGAACACAGTACACACGACTTTGACCATAAGGCATTTTCTTAAGCCATCCAGCATCAAACTTCTTAAACCATGGCATTAACTTTTTCATGTTACTTTTCACTGAAAAATATATATTTGGGCTTGTGGGTACTTGCAAGACAACTCCCATATCACTAAGAATAGGTTCAAATTTATCAAATCAAATTAAATTTAAACCAAGTGTATATATTACAATACCATGGATGAAAGAACCTCCATCCACGACAATACAATGCATGACAATGCACAACAAAGACGAAAAATGTTTGTCAAGTTGTTGTTGCTCCGAATCTGAGCTGATCTGGACCAATCAAACATCGAATCACGCCTGCAAACGCAGAAGTATTAAAGCGGATGCATCATTAGCAGGAACGTCGAACATAAAATTACGCCATTGCGATTCGACGTACCTCACATTAAAAAACATTTTTTATGGCTTTGAGGTCAAAATGAGGTGTCTTACCGTATGCTTTGGTCTTTGGTATTCTCACCATCGATAGAATGATCAATTCTGTACATTTTTCAGCTTTAAATAGATCGCGACTCCCTCTTGTTTTTGAGAATTCATCCAGGGAAGGTGAAAGCGTCACCTTCTGCAAATGCAATGGTGACTTACCTTAGACGCAAAATTTCTGGTCTGTCGATTATTTATGCTCATAATCATGCACAGATAAATAAGAAAAATAGTTTCCCCGTCGGATAGGGTATAATTTTGGTGGCAACTAGCGGAAGATCTATACAAAATGTCCATTTTGTTCAAAATTGAGTGACGGACAAATGCAAAGTTTTATATTTGGGAACAAAATTCAATGTCTTACCGTATGATTCTCTTTTAAAGAATTCTCATGCTTATATGAAAATGAATTCTGCGTTTTTTGACATTTTAAATAGACCGCGACTCTCTTTCGTTTTTGAGATATCGTGTGTGAAGTGTGCTGCGGGAGCCGTGTAGAACTGCAGCTCTAATTTACACTTCTTGTAATATATTAGAATTCAGGGCATATACTGTGATGAATTGTAGCTCATGTTATAGAAAAATCTTTTCTGAGCCTGAATATACCACATTTATTGACCAATACATGATAATTTACCCTATATTTGTCTTGAAACATTGCCTCTTCTCGACTCAAGAAGGGTCACGATCCATGGATATGCTCGAAGTTCTAGAAAGCACTATTTGTAGATATTTTTGTGGATTTATTATTAATTTTAATATTTGAAAACAGAAAAGAAGAGATTTGCGCAACAAACGGCTATAACTTGAAATAATTGCTTTGGAAAAATGGTGCGAATGGCTTGATTTTTTTTCCTCCATTAGCATACAGATTTTCTTGTCGGCTCCCCTCTGCTAATGCACTTCAAATTAATAAATGCATAATTAATATGGCCCAAATATGTCGCCTATTTTTCGTTTTTGGGTCTTAATGGCCAGCTGAAGAAAGTGGTCAAAATACCTTAGTGCTGTGGCGGCAAACCGGTTTTACCTAGTTCTCTATATACCGTGGTCTTGAGAGTCTGTCTCACTTATCAGTTACCATGTTTCCACACTTTCCAGCAAATAGATTGAAAGCCGTCGCATACATCTCTGTAAGGAGGCTCCTAAGGACGTCGTGGCTATCATTGCAAACGACTTCCGGTCAGTTCAACATCTCGGTTTATGACTATCTTCGTCACTTCTGCGTCACTTCTTGGTTGATCGCAGACCAGCAGCTGGTTCCTGTTAGCTTCCGTCTTCGGCAGTTTCCTCCAAATCTGGCAGATCCTCACGGTGAGGTCGATGTCTTCCTCGTCTTTCTCCAGTCGTACCTCCAGCGGCGTAGCCCCACGATGGATCAGCAGGCTGGCGGAGGCACCGTACTTGTTACGCCTGGTGGCCGAGCGCAGAGCCGAGCGTGCCAAGGCGCCGGAGCTGTGTCCCAGGGAGGCCTTGGCGCTGTCATCCAGGTCCTCCATTTCAGTGGATTTCGCCACCGCGGCCACTATCTCCTGGATGACAAGAGCACCATCCTGCTGTCACTCCTGCTGTGATGGTGCCATTCGGGCGGAGGCGTCGGCGGGGCTGAAACGTGACCAGTGACCCGGAGTACGGTGACCAGTGACCACACGACGGAAATCAGCGTTGACAGTGCCACTGAACTCGTGGCTGCGACTATCGAAACACGAACAAAACCTGTAATCGTGTGCAGTCTTTACCGACCACCAGACAATAACACCGAATACTGTGACCGTATGTGTGCTGCACTAGCTGACATTCATACCAAGCACAAGCGGAAAGTCCTCTGGATTGGAGGTGATGCAAACCTACCTGACATCTGCTGGAAAGATGACAGGATTACCGGGCACAATTATGTTCAAGTCATTAACAACGGATATATTGAAATGCTGAGGGATATCGGCTGTCAGCAGAAAGTTGATTTTCCAACGAGACTGAACAACACACTGGACATCTTCGCAACTAACAGGCCGTCGTCAGTCACCAAGTGCTCGCGGCTCCCCGGACTAGGCGACCACGATGCTGTGCTGGTGGAGACTAGTGTCACGCCCAGGCCTAGGAGACCAGTCAGACGGCGGATTCACCTGTGGTCGCGGGCAGACCTTCCAGGACTGGCTACTGAGCTCGGCGAGTACGTACAGCGGCTCAGCAGCATGACACGAGATGAGCCCTCCCCGACCGTGGAAACACTTTGGCATGATTTTAAGACCGTATGCACCGCTGCAGTTGACCACCATGTGCCCTCTAAACTCACCTCTGTAAGATTCAGCCAGCCGTGGTGCAGCCGTGAGGTTAAGAGGTCGTGTCGGCGGAAGAAAAGAGCGCACGAAAAAGCACGACGAACAAACGACCCTGACGACTGGCGGCGCTACTACCAACTGCAAAAAGAATCACGAAAGGCCTGTAGGATGGCCTACAGCAACTACATCCAGAACATGATCAGCGACGACAAAACCGACAAGAAGCTCTACGGCCTCATCAAGAGCAAGAAAACAGAGAATTATGGTACTCCGCCTCTTCTGGACAACAATTTCTTGAAGTCAGGATCACAAGAAAAGGCTGAGATCCTGGATCAACAGTTTTCGTCAGTCTTCACGCAAGGAAACCTTGCAGTCATTCCTGACATGGGAGTTTCACCTTACCCTACGCGCTCGGACATCACTATATCTGCTGCTGGTGTACGAGCACTTCTAGAAAGCCTCAATCCTCATAAAGCCAGTGGACCTGATCAAATATCAAGTCAGCTTTTGAGAGCAATGGCAGCAGTGCTCGCGCCGGCTCTTACAATCATATTCCAAGCCTCTCTTGATCAAGGCCAGGTCCCAGCTGAGTGGAAAAGGGCTTATGTTGCCCCCATTTTCAAAAAAGGTGACAAAGCCCGAGCCTGCAACTATCGGCCTGTGAGTCTCACATCGGTTAGCTGCAAAGTCCTGGAGCACATCATCCATAGTCATATCATCAACCACCTGGAGGCGCACAATATCCTCGCCGACCAGCAGCACGGCTTTCGAAAGAAACGGTCCGGTGAGTCCCAACTGATCGCCACTATACATGACCTGGCGAAAGGGCTTGACCAGCAACAACAGATTGACGCCATTGCCTTAGACTTCAGCAAGGCGTTTGACAAGGTACCACACCAGAGACTGGTCACCAAACTTGAACATTACGGAGTGAGAGGAAAGACACTGCGGTGGATTGAGAGCTTCCTCCACGGCCGAACCCAACAAGTGGTCGTCGATGGAGAACAGTCGGCACCAGCTCCAGTGACATCGGGAGTCCCTCAGGGAACAGTCCTTGGTCCTCTGTTGTTCCTCGTCTACATTAACGACCTACCCCAATGTGTCACTTCGACGTCTCGACTGTTCGCTGACGACTGCTTGGTGTACCGCGTCATCAACAACACAAGCGACTCAGACGAACTACAAAAAGACCTGAAGTCGTTACAGAACTGGGAGCATCGTTGGCAAATGTCATTCAACTCAGACAAATGCGAAGTCATCCGCATAACAAACAAGAGATCACCCATAACTAAGAACTACTCTATCCATGGTGAAGCGTTAAGAACATCCGACAGCATCGAATACCTAGGCCTTGACATCGACAGCAAACTGTCATGGGAAAAACAGGTCAACAACATCAGTAGGAAGGCATCGAACACCCTGGCTTTTCTAAGAAGAAACATCTCACACTGTCCGCTCAAGATTCGTCTAACAGCGTACAAGACGCTGATCAGACCCCAGCTTGAATACGCAGCAACAGTGTGGGACAACTCTGTGAAGGCTCGTGTGTCAGCTGTTGAATCTGTACAGCGTCGAGCAGCACGATTTATCACAGGAGACTACGATCGACGAAGCAGCGTCACAAACATGCTGAATGCGCTGAGTCTGGATACCCTGAGGAGTCGAAGACAGCGTGCAAAACTGACGAACCTCTACCGCGCATCACACAACCTGATGGATATTCCAACTGTTCTTCTTAAGCCCACCCATAGAAGAACAAGAGGACATAACCACAGGTTCCTACTGCCAGCAAGTCGCGTTAAATGCTACCAAGACTCCTTTTACCCATCAACCATCAGCCTCTGGAACAATCTCCCACAGGAAACTGTGGGTGCCACCTCTCTCGACTCATTCAAGGCTGCATTGGCCAGCCGTCAGTTCTGACTGACCGATATCTACAAAACGCATGAACGACTAGGTATGTACCCTTATGACTTTTGTTGCATTATTACATTTGTTTCAATGTGTTACTCACCCCTTTGTCAAAGTAAGGCATTAAGCAGTCCCAATGTCGCATGATGTGATGCTGTGCGTGTGTATCTGACCTCTTTGACTTACCCCGAACCTGTGCGTAAATGCTCGATAGAGCCCGGCACAATAAAGGGAGAGAGAGAGAGAGAGAGAGAGAGAGAGAGAGAGAGAGAGAGAGAGAGAGAGAGAGAGAGAGAGAGAGAGAGAGAGAGAGAGAGAGAGAGAGAGAGAGAGAGAGAGAGAGAGAGAGAGAGAGAGAGAGAGAGAGAGAGAGAGAGAGAGAGAGAGAGAGAGAGAGAGAGAGAGAGAGAGAGAGAGAGAGAGAGAGAGAGAGAGAGAGAGAGAGAGAGAGAGAGAGAGAGAGAGAGAGAGAGAGAGAGAGAGAGAGAGAGAGAGAGAGAGAGAGAGAGAGAGAGAGAGAGAGAGAGAGAGAGAGAGAGAGAGAGAGAGAGAGAGAGAGAGAGAGAGAGAGAGAGAGAGAGAGAGAGAGAGAGAGAGAGAGAGAGAGAGAGAGAGAGAGAGAGAGAGAGAGAGAGAGAGAGAGAGAGAGAGAGAGAGAGAGAGAGAGAGAGAGAGAGAGAGAGAGAGAGAGAGAGAGAGAGAGAGAGAGAGAGAGAGAGAGAGAGAGAGAGAGAGAGAGAGAGGAGAGAGAGAGAGAGAGAGAGAGAGAGAGAGAGAGAGAGAGAGAGAGAGAGAGAGAGAGAGAGAGAGAGAGAGAGAGAGAGAGAGAGAGAGAGAGAGAGAGAGAGAGAGAGAGAGAGAGAGAGAGAGAGAGAGAGAGAGAGAGAGAGAGAGAGAGAGAGAGAGAGAGAGAGAGAGAGAGAGAGAGAGAGAGAGGAGAGAGAGAGAGAGAGAGAGAGAGAGAGAGAGAGAGAGAGAGAGAGAGAGAGAGAGAGAGAGAGAGAGAGAGAGAGAGAGAGTACCGCCTCATTCTCCAGGAACTGTCGGACACTCGACCAGTTGTAGTTGCCACCTGATAGCTGATATTGTCATTCGTGAAGAACGCATCGGTCTGGCCCTTCATAACCTGCTTCTGGTGTGAGTGGCGTGCGGATGCCATGGCGTTTCGCTGGCCGCTCGTGCACAAGGGGCATCGCGTAATCCACGCTGGTCAATACTGACAGGGCTGCGCCGCTCTTGAGCCGACGGCACTGTCTGCATGCCGGTGCGAAATGACCAATCTTCTTCGAAATCTTCCTTTCTGAAATGCAGCTCACATACAGCGGAATAGTCCTGATCCCACTCAGCCCGGTCACGGTGACCCATGGCGTCAACCCACTGAGCCCGTAGAGATGTTTCGGTGAGAAAAGCGAATAGGTGGCATGTGAGATATCTCCTGTTCTAATCTTTTGTTCCTCTTGGTTCCTTGGGTTGTAGCCAGAACGGCAGGTTTTTACCGCTCATTCCCCTCCTCCATTGTTGATGTACCTATACGTATGTAAGGCTTTGCACCACAATTTTTTCAAAAGAAAGCACCACGCATTGTGCCCTCTAAATGATCAAATTAAAGGTGAAATACTTTAATTTTTAAGCAAATGAAAGTAACCTTGGTAGCTTCGATTTTAAACGTAAGCGACAAAACGCAAAAAGACGATTTCTTGCAATACACAACACACAAATTATCCACGCAGCAGCACGCGAGAATCTCATTTTGGCGCCGTCGCATAAAAACATTCGGCCTCTTACTGCAACTGCCAATATTCTGTTTCCAATCCAGTACTACTGTTATCTGTGGCTATATATATTGGATATTACCAGTATAACGCCTTTTGGGGCGGCTAACGGAGCGAGCGAGAGGGTGAGCCTTGCACGTGCGGAATTTCGAGGTGTACCTCCAACTGACTTGTGCACGGCACCCAACTAAGTGGTCTGTAGCGATGTGCCAAATTTGGGCACAATCGGCCCAGCCGTTCTCGAGATCTGGAAGCGGCACCCTGCACGTGCGCAGTGCAAAATGGGTCCCATCTGACTTTTGCACGGTACCCTACTAACTGGTCCCTAACCGTGTACCAAATTTGAGCGCCATCGGTCCAGCCGTTCTCGAGATCTGGAAACGACCCCTGTACGTACGCACGTGCAGCAGCACCCCAACTCTGGCACATGGATATGCATTGCCCAATGGGTACCTACCTACTGCCAACTTTGAGCGCAATCGGCCAAGCAGTTACCGAGATATTATAACAATTACAAAACTGACACCTCTTCGTTTTGCACGTGGCACGTGCATAAGAGGTCACCCACATGCATCGGGAATAGTCCAATACTTGGTAGAAGGAATGAAGCTACCCTACAAAAATTACCGCATGTAAATAGGTCAAGTGGTTGCTGAGATATAAGCCTCGCAAAAGCGTCCGCAAGCATTCTCAGAAATTTCCGTTAATCTAAGGAAAGACTCCGCTGATCGCTCGCTCCGTAACAACAACCGATGACCGAAAGCATCCTGCATTACATACACTGTAGAAAAGTTAAGCTCCCTTTGCGCTAAACCGGTGCTACTAGGGTGCTATTCAGATGCTAAGAATTTATGATGCTTAAAATAAGCAGCATTTTATAAAGCAGATGCTAAAATATAGCATCACATGCTTGATACAAGCATGCTACGATAAATGGATCCTTGGTTTAAGCTCCCGTTATAAAATAACATAATTAATTATAGCACCTTATAATAATGAAGGTGCAAAAAAAATAATGAAGGTGCTTCATGCTAGCACCCCATTTCATTATCTTGGAGATATCAATATATGGTGCTAAATATCTGCTAATTAGCTCCTTACGTACTAACGTTGTGCTACACTGAAACACTAAAATGATTAGCACTTTTGGTGCTAAACAACTACTATTAAGGTGCTTAGGATTAGCACCTATTCCGATGGAACCCTGGAGTACAACCAGGGCACTGAAGCTTCAAACGTCACACACAGATGGCGCTGTTTCATACGGCTTTGAATTACTGCGATTTTTGATGTGTTTTTTTTTTTTGCACAACTGATAGAGTTGCACATTTTTTTGCGTTTTCCAAGAGGAGCAGAATTAATATTGATAAGATGCATCTTCAAAACCTCTGCAACATTAATCACGTGACTTTTGGCAACGCTTTTGTTCCGAAACTGACAACTGAAACCAATTCAATTACAATCGGTAATGATAAACTATATATATTGGAAAGACCGTTCCGTGCTTCTATCCTCAGGATACTGAAGTCCTTCTCCTCGACGCCGCAACCCCCCTCCGGGCTGGACAGGCAACTTTGTCTCATGCGGGCTGCTCCCTTGGAGCGGCACCGCTGCTCCCGAGGGAGCGCACCCCGTAGCCGGGTGCAGTGAGTGCCTTGGGACTGGGTGGCCTGTCCTCTGGACGGGCTCAGCCCCGGCGACTCACTAGGGTGCCTGCCCAGACCAATGTCTCCCCCTATATCCTATCATCCTCCCGGCTCTGAAATGGTGTCATTGGACCGAAAGGGCCTAACCCAACAAAACAAACAAATATATCGGACACACCGTTCCGTGCTTCTATCCTCAGGATACTGAAATCCTTCTCCTCCACGCCGCGACCCCTTCCGGGCTGGACAGGCAACTTTATCTCATGCGGGCTGCTCCCTTGGAGCGGCACCGCTGCTCCCGAGGGGGCGCACCCCGTAGCCGGGTGCAGTGAGTGCCTTGGGGCTGGGTGGCCTGTCGTCTGGACGGGCTCAGCCCCGGCGACTCACTAGGGTGCCTGCCCAGACCAATGTCTCCCCCTATTTCCTATTATCCTCCCGGCTCTGAAATGGTCTAATTCGACCGAAAGGGCCTAACCCAACAAAACAAATAAAAAGTATATTGGATATTACAGCAACCTATGACCCAAAGCATCCTGCATGACTTTGCTCAAACGTGACTCTTCTTTTTTTGCATTCGTCGATATATTTACTGGACACTGCATAATTATACACCTTTTTTTACACATTATATTTTGGGTCATTCATGTTAGCCATTTTAACATGTTTTACCCCTAAAAACAATTCCACTTTGGACTAGAAGACAGCCGGAGTTCTGATTCCATACAAGGCCACGTACATTGTCCAGTAATCGAACACACTGATCGTTTGATTGTAAAAGCAAGGAACCTACCCGACCGAACTATAGGGTTTTAACAACCCTAATCCCCTGGGTTGATATGCGCACAGACACACACACAAGAAGTGAATAAACTGTTTGTTGCCATAGGTGTAGGAACAGGGGGGACGGGGGGGGGGGGGGGGCGGTGCCCCCCACTTTTCATAGTGGGGGGGGGCCAGTAATGTTAACTGCCCCCACTTTTTCGTTCCGTTCCGCTCCGTTCCGTTTATTGAATATAATTTGGGATCACACATTGAACAATTTATAATTTATGGCACTGTCAAACGGGATTGGTCGGATAAGGATTCACGTGTTAGTTTTTTTTAGAATACGGACAGTTAGTGTTAAAGGTTATATTGGGGAGTTTTAAGTTCCTAACCAGACGGTAACGCAAAGACGCAAGACGCAAAAACGCAAGACGGTAACGCACGACGGTAAATATGAACGGAAAACGAAGATATACGCTTTGTAGATAATTTTTGGCAATTCACGAGCACTTTTTTCAAAACGTTAGCGTTGCAAATCTTTTAGATACATACTATTGACTGTTACTTATTGAATGACCTTATAGTTGGCTTTTGTTACGAATGGATTACGAAGTTTTTTATCTAGTTGGTTAGGCTAGTCGTGTAGTGGTTTATCTTGTTTGCTTGGCTGCTTTGGCCCATTTTTGGTTGTGGTGTGCTGAGTCTGGGCGTGTGTTATTTTTGTTTCTGTTTCCGTCCTGAGTTTGGCTGTTTGATTTCCGTTTTGGCCGGGTGGCGGCAGTTTGCGTTCTATTTACTGACCGGCGCGGCTGGCCGCCGGACGCTCGCCAGGACGGCATGCTGGCGGCGGCGGCCGTGGCGGCGCGGCCCCGCTCGCGGCGCGTCTCGGTCTCGTCGCGAAGGGGCTCGGCCGTTCGCCGGCAGGGTGCCGGCGGAGGGCCGTCGCCGCCGCCGCGGCGCGTCTCCGTGTCTCCGCCGGCGGCCGGCGCGCAGCCGCCGTCCCCGGCAGGCCTGGCAGACTTCAGCGACGGCCGCAGCAGCAGCCAGCTGGGCCTCCGCAAAAAGGTCTACGAGTTCTACACGGCGCCCGTCACCAAATTCTGGAGCTTCACGGTGAGTGAGGCGATCCGGGCGACCGGTGCGTGATCTGGCATGGGCCTGTTCTAGCGCCACCAGAAAACACCAGAAAGCTCTAGTAGGTAGCCCCATAATTCTCCAGTCAGCGTTCCACCGCCGCCAGCCAGTAGCTCTAGACAAATCATGATATCATCAGGAACCACCAGCATCCTGGGCTCTATTTCACGACACGACGCTACAGTGCACTACAGTACCTACGGTTAGACACGACGCTACAGTGCACTACAGTACCTACGGTTAGACACGACGCTACAGTGCACTATCCTACGGTTAGACACGACGCTACAGTGCACTACAGTACAGTGGGTCTATTTAAGATCTCCAGAGCCACCACGTGGCGCTACGGTCGGGGTAGGGCGAGTCCAAATCCCGAGGGAAGCGAGGTCACCGGTCATTGTGGGGGAAGGAGGGAGGGGGAGTGACGTGGTATCACGGCGCATGGGACGTGCGTAGCGCCGGGAGTGGGCCGCCCAGGGCCGCCCGCCACTGCGCCGAGGCTGAGGGGAGGGGATGATGGTTGCGGGTGCGTTCACTCCCGTATGTTGGTATCCTGTTCATGTGGAACCAGCAAGAATGCGACTGAAGGGAATCATTATCTCAAACAAACGGGCAAGCCAGAGGCAGTGTCAGTTCCAGCCAAAATGTTGAAAAATGATAATTGAAATCTAGGACGTATTCATAGCATGCAACTGTTCAGTCGATAGTTGCATGATGCTTTTCATGATGCATGATGAGGCTTTTCCAAACTGTTATTTGAGTTAGATATTTTTTCATTTTGCACGCTCAGTTTTGGTGGGTTTTATCGGGTCGAAAAGATTCAGAAAAGAAAAAAGAGTTGAAATGGCTCCAGACAAATGAACAAACATATTTTCTTTAAAAATTAAACTTAGCTAAACATTCTTTAAGTTTCTCAGTGCTTGTGCGAGGATCATATTAAAGCATTTTGATTAAAGGTAGTGTGCCACCTTTGAAAGATTTCCCGTTTTATTTTTCCTAGGATAAGAAGCTTCTGTTTTTACCTAATATCGCCAAAAAAAATAAAAAATGGGCCTGGAATAGTGCCTTTTTCGCCTAAAAGTTTATCGGTTTTTAGATATGTATAACAACTGTAGTGGGCTCACCTGCAAACAGGCGTCGGGCAACAATCGCGAATGCGGCGCACTTGTGACAATAAGCAAAGGTCATTATAGTGTTACGACCATACGACGTACGGGAATGAGTTATCAGCTGTCTAATCGTAGACAACACAATGTCGAGCCTTAAACTGTAAGCCTGTATTGGTATTGTTTCTTAAATTTGGCTGTCGAACATTAATTTGTGGTTTGAAATATGATTTTATGTAAAATAATTGATATGAAACAGCCGTCTCTTAAGTTATGACCCCATTACGCCACACGCAAGTGGCAGAAATGACCATGATCAGCTGACGCATTTTTCTTGGCCGAAGTCAGAGCGCGCGGCCCGACGCACCACGCGTATTTGGAAATTCCGACCTCGACGAGCATCAGAAGCCACCTAACAGGCGTGTTCGAAACCGCAGGAGATGATGATGAACGGGTTTATCAAACTTTATTGGATGAGCCTATCGGTAATAGCGATTTTAGTGTGTGCATTTATTGTTCATAGTGGTGTGAAATGTGGTTGGGGTACGACCGACAACCCGTCGGGGCGAATTTCGCACTGGGGTACTCAAAATTTGAAGAATTTAAGACGTTTCCATAAGTTTTGAAGGTATGGATAAGTTCTAAAAATCCGGTTCTCCTTATCCGGGTCATTAACTCCATATGGTCCAAGAAAGCTGGCACACTACCTTTAATGACCTTACCCTCGTAGTTTGAAAAGTTAGATCAAAACACTTGTTTATTAATAATTTCGAGCACAGCTCTTCATCAGAATACAAAGCTAAATTTATGTTCGTGACATTTTTAGCTTTGTATTCTGATGAAGAGCTGTGCTCGAAATTATTAATAAACAAGTGTTTTGATCTAACTTTTTCAAACTACGAGGGTAAGGTCATTAATCAAAATGCTTAGCTAAACATTTATAAGCGATAATTTTGACTTTTTGAGAGGATATTGAGGAAAGATATTGGGGAAAGATGTCACCGTGCTTATCTGTGTTGCAGTAGAAGGAAAGGTTTTGGTTCGTGTCTAGATAAAACCAGACCCGGGAGTGGGGCTCGAACCCACGACATCGCATTCAGCTCACAGGTTACCCAACCTCAACGCTACGAGCGTCGAGCACCTATCGCCCTGCGCAGCTTGCTCAGTGTTTCGGTTAAAGTTCGGCCAAAGTGTCTGACGTCTGTCATGTCACGAGGCGAAACCCCAAGGTAGATAATTGTCCGTCCCGGTAGCTCGGTCGGTAGAGCGTTGGACTCCATGTGCTATGTTGTGAGAGCGCACGTCCTGGTTGCGAAAGTCCGGGTTCAAAACGCGACGTGTGCTTGACGTTTTTGAGCCTCCTGACGTATGGTTGTGGTTGGTGGCAGGCCGCTGCCAGGCGAAGTCAGTAAGGGGACCGGCCGTGCGCGGCTATGTGCGCACGTTAAAATTTTGACTCTAAATTCTGCCACAGACCAGGAATTGCTTGATCGAAGGTATAGAGAGCAGGGTCAACGCAACAAGCTCAGCTTAGCGGGGACTCTGTCCTTGTGATTCCTTTCATTTAAAAGGTTCGGGCCAAATTTATATTTAAAAAAGGGGGAGCCGAAACAGTTTGGGCCGGGTTGAACCCGGTTGGACCGGTGTCTCGCACGCAATGTGGTATTCGTCCACTTTTCCTCATCTTCTCTTAGCGACTTGATTTGACCTAAAAGGCCCATCTTACCAGCAATAAAAAAAAACACCTGCGTGATGATTATTTGCCAAAGGGCGCTCTACGCAAGAAATGCCAGCCGGTCAAAAAACTGGCGAACGATGAGATCTTTCTATTGCCTGAATTAAATTCAATGAAAATTTCAGGAGACATAAATAATCTTAATCCTTATAGCTACTGGGCTCCCGGAGCATTCGCTCGCATTCCATTGCCGGCTGCATTACCAACACCACATTTGCATTACTTTGGGTTCATCATAGTTGACAGTAGATGAAGCGGCCACAGCAAACCCATGCTCATTATCCTTTCCTTCCAAGCAGCCAAATGCCAAGCTAACCGGCCGCCCGGCCCACCACCGCGATATGGAACAACGCTGGAGAGCGCCATTTGCCTGCGGCAGTGCCCCACCGCGCCGGGGCTGTTTGACAGGTCACCCGCACCGTGACCTCGCCACCCCCCCCCCTGCCCACCTCCCCATCGGGCCCAGCTCGGTAGTGACCTCTCCTTGAATCTCACATGGACTCGACTGAGGCTCAACGCCATCTAGTTTCGTCTGGAGATCCTTACTAGATCCACTGTACCTACGGTTAGACACGACGCTACAGTGCACTACCCTACGGTTAGACACGACGCTACAGTGCACTACAGTACCTACGGTTAGACACGACGCTACAGTGCACTACAGTACCTACGGTTAGACACGACGCTACAGTGCACTACAGTACCTACGGTTAGACACGACAATACAGTGCACTACAGTACCTACGGTTAGACACGACCCTACAGTGCACTACAGTACCTACGGCTAGACACGACGCTACAGTGCACTACCCTACGGTTAGACACGACGCTACAGTGCACTATAGTACCTACGGTTAGACACGACGCTACAGTGCACTACCCTACGGTTAGACACGACGCTACAGTGCACTATAGTACCTACGGTTAGACACGACGCTACAGTGCACTACCCTACGGTTAGACACGACCCTACAGTGCACTACAGTACCTACGGTTAGACACGACGCTACAGTGCACTACCCTACGGTTAGACACGACGCTACAGTGCACTATAGTACCTACGGTTAGACACGACGCTACAGTGCACTACCCTACGGTTAGACACGACGCTACAGTGCACTACAGTACCTACGGTTAGACACGACCCTAAAGTGCACTATAGTACCTACGGTTAGACACGACGCTACAGTGCACTACCCTACGGTTAGACACGACGTTACAGTGCACTATAGTACCTACGGTTAGACACGACGCTACAGTGCACTACCCTACGGTTAGACAACGACGCTACAGTGCACTATAGTACCTACGGTTAGACACGACGCTACAGTGCACTACCCTACGGTTAGACACGACGCTACAGTGCACTACCCTACGGTTAGACACGACGCTACAGTGCACTATAGTACCTACGGTTAGACACGACGCTACAGTGCACTACCCTACGGTAAGACACGACGCTACAGTGCACTACCCTACGGTTAGACACGACGCTACAGTGCACTATAGTACCTACGGTTAGACACGACGCTACAGTGCACTACAGTACCTACGGTTAGACACGACGCTACAGTGCACTACAGTACCTACGGTTAGACACGACGCTACAGTGCACTACCCTACGGTTAGACACGACGCTACAGTGCACTATAGTACCTACGGTTAGACACGACGCTACAGTGCACTACCCTATGGTTAGACACGACGCTACAGTTCACTACAGTACCTACGGTTAGACACGACGCTACAGTTCACTACAGTACTTACGGTTAGACACGACGCTACAGTGCACTACAGTACCTACGGTTAGACACGACCCTACAGTGCACTACAGTACCTACGGTTAGACACGACGCTACAGTGCACTACCCTACGGTTAGACACGACGCTACAGTGCACTATAGTACCTACGGTTAGACACGACGCTGCAGTGCACTACCCTACGGTTAGACACGACGCTACAGTGCACTATAGTACCTACGGTTAGACACGACGCTACAGTGCACTACCCTACGGTTAGACACGACGCTACAGTGCACTACAGTACCTACGGTTAGACACGACGCTACAGTGCACTACCCTACGGTTAGACACGACGCTACAGTGCACTATAGTACCTACGGTTAGACACGACGCTA